GCTTACATTAGGATTCACTCTTGGCATGGTACATTCTATGGGTTTTGACAAGCGTATGATGACATGTGACCATGATTAAAGTACCATATAGATGAGTTTCATTGCTCTAAAAATCCTCTGTGCTCTACTTTGCCATTCCACCCTCCCCCTCAACCTTTGGCAACCACTGATCATTTTACCATTCCCATAATTTGCCTTTTCCAGAATGTCATACAGATGGAATCGTAAAATGTGTAGCCTTTCCATGTTGGCTTCTTCCACCTAGTAGTATGCATTTCAGATTCCTCCTCTTTTCATGGCATGATAGCTCGTTTCTTTTTAGCATAGAATAATATTCCATTGTTTCAATGTACCTCAGTTCATTTATCTATTTACCCACTGACGGACATCTCTGTTTGGGTACTATGGATAAAACTGCTATAAACATTCGTGTCCAGATTTTTGTGTGAATATAACTTTTCAACTCATTTGGGTAAATACTAAAAAGCATGATTCTTTGATCAAATAGCAAGAGTATGTTTAGTTTTGTAAGAAACTGCCAAGATGCCTTCTAAAGTAGCTGTACTATTTTGCATTCCCATCATCAATGAATGAGAGGTCCAGTTGTTTTATATTCATGCCAGTATCTGTTTTTAAAATGTGTACTAGACATATCATAGAATAATATTTAGCAATAAAAAGAAATGAAGTACTAATATCTACTACAACATGGATGAACCCGGAAAATACTATGCAAAGTGAAAAAAGCCAGTCACAAGATACCAGATTTTATGTGTCCAGGACAGGAAAAGCTATACAGACAGAAGATAGATTAATGTTTGCTTAGGGCTAGGAAGATAAGGGCATAGGAGGGTTATAACGAAGGTTAGACCATTTCTTTTTGATTTGATGACAATGTACTAAAATTGGTTGTAGTAATGGTTGCACATATCTGTGAATATACTAAACATCATTGAATTTTATACTTTAAGTCTGTGAATTGTTAAGTATGCAGATTATATCCCGATAAAGCTGTTATAAAAAAATCTATTCTAGGATGAATGAATAGGAGTTATTTAGGCTAAGCATGTAAGGTGTGATTGAGACAGTGCTTCAGGCAGGAAACCAAGACCATAACTTGAAAGGGCATGGAGCTTTGAGGAAGTGATAGACTCTGCATAACAGTATTATTACTATTTATTAAATACTAACTTTCAGAGCAGTGTTTATGAGCAAGCGTTCCACTTAATAACTGGGCGACTTTGGCCAAGTCTCACTTTCCTTTTCTATGAAATAATAGATTAATGAGATAACATCTTGAAAAAGACTCAGAGTTTATGGAAGAAAAGCAAGACCCTGTGTAAGTCCAGAACTATTTTGACAGTTACAGTGCAAGAATAATAATTGGGAAAAAACTTTTAAAAATAATTATTATTTCTTAACCAGATGACAGAAAGTCTGATGAGATGCCAAAATGTCAGATTAAAAAAAAGGTCTCTAACTTTAGCGAACTAAAGGGTTTCATCTTGGTATTTGTGGCTATGGATATGTGTATGTATATGTGTGTGTGTATACTTATATTACACTGTGCCTTCTGTCCATTTTTCTTCTAACAACACATGGTGAACAGGTAGTACATATGGATATACTTCATTCCTTTAAATAGCTACTTACCCACACCATACTGAAAATATCGAAGATGTGAACAAAATATTTAATAGACATTTCTCAAAGTAAGACATGCAAATGGACAATAAGCACATGAAAAGATGCACCATACCCAACTAAATTATCTATCAAGTGATGCTGCTGCTTTTGCTAAGGCTCTTGCAAAATACTGGTGCCAGAATATCAAATAATGCTTTTGGATACTGTTGTGTGTGTGAGCCTTCCCTCCCATCACCCTCCTTAGAACATTCCTTGCAGAGAGAACAGACCAGCTTTTCTCTTAGTGTTTGCTTTTTACAGAGGCTAAGGTCATGATGTACATATGAGATCTGGGGCTGATTTTTAAACATACATTCTCCTGTCAGTTTCCTAGTGAAAAACTTTACATGAGATTACTCCTGTTATTACCATCTGGATGAATCCATCGGCTTTGCGTTTCTACCTCTTTTATTTTGTGGTGTCATAGTAGCTATGTCTTACAGTAACTTAAAGTTCCTCAAAGACTGTTTATCTTTAGTTTCTTAGTTGCTGCTCTTTCCATTCAACTAACCTTAGGATTTATTAAAAATCCTCTGTACTTAAGTAAAAATTAGAAATAGTTACAGATATCCTGTTTACAACCACAGTGTAATGCATTAAATGCTGTATTTAATTTGGAATCACAAATCAAGCTTTGGATCAAACTTTGGGTGTTAGGAAAGGCTTGTCATCTACATTAAGATTTATTTTACAGAGAAAGTTGTTATTAGGCAATCTGCCATGGGCCCTGAACACCACTGCACATTTTTATTGGGTAAGCCAAGAATATAAGACCTTGACCATGCCTTACCCACGCACATTTTTCACAGTTGTGTTTGCAGTAAGCAACCTTGAAGGATAGGGTAATGTTTTCCCCTGAACATAGAACAGGCTTGCTTTTGCTTACTATAAGAGCAGGAAATCTTCCAAACTCAGAATTTTTTTTTTCCTGTTATGCACTGCACTGCATGTTAAGGGGTCCGTCATGGGTCCTATGTCATCCCACAAAACTTGGGAATCATAGGCAACCAGTACAAACCAACATGAAGCTCCAGCATTCATTAAATGGTAACAGGCTAACTTGTTAGCTTATAAGTAGGGCAAAATCACAAACTCTGTACAGTTCTTGACAAGTGTTTCCAGTTATTATTCTTAAAGCAATTATGCTAGGGCAATGTTTCTCACCAGGCTGATTTTTGTTATATCTGTGCATATCACCTATGCTATTAATATTGTGTTCTATTTAATATTCTTCTTCAAATTACATCACTTATTTAATTTGAATACTTTTTTTTACTTTCCTGGGTACAAAATAACATGAAGGAAGGGAAAGGAGTTGAATAATTTTTTGAAAAGGAAACTTTATAACAACCACCCTAAACCTAAACGATCATCATTTGCTTTAAACAGAAAATATTCATTAATACACATTTAAATAAATACATGGACATCACCATTTAAAATATTTGTGTAATATCTAAAATCATTTCCCCTTACCATCAGACCCTTCAACTTTGATCCCAAGTTTTCTGATTTCATCCAGAGAAGTCGTGTCTAGGACAAAGACTATCACAACCAATGTTTTTAGTTAGTGAATTTTGAGGTCTTATTTTCTTCTTTATAAAAAAAGTCCCCATGATGCCCCTTTGTGAAGGAATAAAGGGGAGGGAGATGAAGTCTAGTGCTCTGACCAGCAAAGAAGAAAGCCGTCCTCCTCCAAGTATATCTGTCTAGGACACTCCTCCCCCCCAATCATCAACTTGGGAGGGCCTAGTGCCTGCTACAGACTGGAGCAGCCACCAAAGTCAGACCCACCCTAGAGAGGAGTGTAGCTTGGGTGAGCTTTTTTACATCCTGCTTGAGTGCCACCCCTCTGAGCACTAGGAAGATAGATTTATCCTGTCTTGTAAAACTGGCAGTGAACATGGAACCTTATCTCACTCCAGCCAAAATTCCAATCCAATCGGTACCCATGAGGCTGCCATTACCTTAAAGAGTGACCTAGCAGCCGGTCTCGGTGGCTCAGCCTGTAATCCCGCACCTTGGGGAGGCTGAGGTGAGTGGATTGCCTGAGCCCATGGGTTCGAGATCCGCCTGGGCAGCGAGACCTCATCTCTACAATAAATAAAAAATCAGCCGGGTGTGGTAGCGCGTGCCTGTAATTCTGACTACTTGGAAGGCTGAGGCAGAAGGATCACCGGAGCCCAGCAGGTCGAGGCTGCAGTGGCCGGGAGTGAGACTCCAACTCAAAAAAAAGAATGACCTAGTGACACGAAGAGTTCCCAAAATGGCATTACAGAGAAAAATGACACAACTGGCACAATAGTGAGCCTTACACACATATATACATATACACATGTAAATATGTAGATTTGGATGTAGCTATGGATATATCATAAATCTTACATAGATGCTCATATATTTTCAGTCAGGGATGGGAGTATTCCCAAATCTGATTTGAATTTCCCTTTAAAATTTACTCAACTTTAGGGATAGCTGTTGAACTGGTGAAGAGGGCCTGCCATCAGTCTTCTGGGGATCACTCACCCCAAGGAAATAGGAATCAGGAAGATAAAAGTAGTAATCTTCAGGCCCAGGGCAGCAATTCTGACTAAAGCATGATATGTTACTCAGACATGTCTTCTGGTCCAACTCCCAGATGTACTATTGTGTCAGAGTCTTATGGAGAAAAGGTTAAAATCCCAAAGTTGCCAAGATATCTATAAGACATCATGTCCCAAGTGGTACTGTTTAAGTGTCTATCTAATTGAAAAGATGGGCAATCTCCTATTTCTGTAGAGGTCGGTCTGGGAACTCAGTCCACTGATGGTGCCAAAGAAATATATTGGGCTTCAATACTTGAGAATTTCAGCACATCCACAGTGGTAGAGGCCTGAAAGGCACAGCACCTAGCAGAAGGGGCAGGAATACCTAGTATACATGGTAGTATCAAGGACAGGGAGACGAGAAACTGGGCAGGCTAATCGGAAGAGGAACATGAAGATGGCACCCACCTCACAGTGGCCTGGATTTGTTCTTAAGCACAGATAAGAACAACTTTCTTCCCCCTCCCAAATAGCTGAAACAATCTCTTGGGGAGTTAGGATCTTGCAAGGGCCACATGGGAGAAAAACCGTTGAACATAGTTCACAGCCATTACTTTATTTAAACCCCACAGATCCTTGTGTGATCATCTTTATTTTACAGATGAGATAAATTTATCATTCTAGCTAGTGGTCTGGTGGTACTTTGAAGTTCATTCACATTAGCTTCTAAAGTTCTGTCAGCAAATATTAAGTGCCCCAGTACTTTAAAAAATAAACTAAGTGCAGTTGGTTGTTTTTCTGTTATAAAACTTTTATTATTTTTAGCAATAATAATGTGTGTTCATTTTAGGCATATGGAAAATACAAATAAGCAAAAGAAGAAAAATCATTTATAATCCCACCACCAATAAACTGAACTTTGTGTCTTTCATCTTTCACAAGTTTTATGTGCATATATGTAATATACAAATGTACTTTTACCTTTCAAAAATATTATATTCACGTATTACTTTGTAACCTTTTTTGATTTTATATTCTATTGGGAACCTCTTTTTTTTTTTTTACAAATGAGTAAAGCTCTTTTATTAAAAGACAGAGACATAGAGATTGCTCAAAATATGATAATGAGATGCATCTAAAACCACTAACAGCAAAAGGTTAAAAGTAGAAAGATAGACAAAGTTATATCAGGAAAATACTGATAAAAAGAAAGCTATATAGTATTGTTAATACCAGATAAAAATCAAAGTAAACTACATTAAATAGGGGTAAGGATGGTTTCGATTAACCTTCCAACGCATCACTATAAGTTTGTTTCTTACTCTCCTTATCTCATCTATTTCATCCACTTCTCTAAACATATCTTCATTGCTTAAGTGCCTGTTGTGTATATCTTCTTTAAATTCCTGGAGAGATTGTATCAGCCTTTCTCTAAAATTCTCTTCTGCTTTTTCCTCCTCTGGCTCTTCCTCCTCCTCTGGCTGTTCCTCAGGTTTTGGCTCCTCCTCAAACTTTGGTTCACTCTCATTTTCTGGTTTTTCCTCAATTTTTTGACAGGGTTTCATCTTGTGTCTGTCTGCCTCTCTTTCTTCCTTCTTTCTTTCCTTTTTTTCCTTTCTTTTTTTTTTGCTTATTCCTCTTTGAATGCAATTACTTCTAGGAAGCAAGAATGAGACAGTAAGCCAAAAACTTGGTGAGTGGACACAAGTCTCAGCATTTGCTTTTTTCAGAGCTGTCATCAAATACCTTCCACCTGAAAAGCCCCAGTCAGCAATCAGGGCTCCCTGACCCCGCCCCCCCTTACCTTCACATTCCTCCTCCTCACCCCCCCTCCCTCCGGCCCTTTTTAAGGCCTTCCTTCCAGCCTCCAGCCATGTCCCCCGCCCCTGGCATTTCTCCCCCGCGGGGCCTAACACAGGGACTTTTCCAGAAATGTGAAAGGTGGCTGGAGGTAAAGGGTGAAAGGGGGAAGGGAGGATAAGGAGAGGGGAAAGGGGGAAAAGGGAGGCAGTAGGGCTAGTGGGGCCGACAACTTTTGTCCCACCCTTGCCCACCTCCACCCCAGGAGTCTTTATAATGATCGTCTTACCTACCTAGTACTGATCGGGTCAGTTTCTTCCTCCTTTTTTAGCCTTGGGTCCTGCTAAGAACAACGACCTGCAGACAAACGGGAAACGGGAGGGGGTGGGGCGAGGGCTTGGTGGGCCGACCAGCACCAGAGACCGACGCCCGTAGCTTTCCTCATTTAGGGCCTTGGTTATGGAACATTTCCCACCTTTTGTTTCCCTCAATTCTTCTCCTCTCTATAGTGCAAGTTAGTTCATCTTTCTCATCAGACAGAGTGAGAAAAGCAGATAATTTCCAAACTATGTTTAAGACTGAGGAGGGGTTTGGGCGGGGGCGGGGGGGGGGGTCGGGAAAGCGGTCCTAGAAGGCAGAGGATGATTATTTTTAAACTATCATACGTCTCCTTGTTCTTCTCTAACGACCCTTAGTCCCTTTCTCAAGGGTCATCATTTCCTGCGGACTTGGAGGTGGGGGTCGGAGAGACGGACTTGACTGGCACTCCCTCAAGTCTCTGCCCTAAATCACCTCAAGCTAGAAATCCCCAGGCAACATCGATATCAACACCAACCTGCACAATTCCTGCAAGCTTTATTCCTTTTCCTTCCACTGGCCTGAGTGACCGCCGCCTGCGCTGCTGAAAGAAGCTGGTACCCAGACGGGAACAAGGACCAGACTAGCTGGACTTCTGCACACGTCGACTCCTGGTCACATGAGATCTACGTCACCAGTGAGCTCGGGTCCCCAATTTCCACTCCCACCAAAAGCGCGGCAGAAGTGTGCCCGCCCTCTGCTCCTTCCCCACCCCACCCCCACCTTATATATTTGGCCCTGTCAATCTTTTCTGTTGTTGCCTATCACAGAGGGAAAAAATGTTATTTTCTGTTCTCTGATTACTAGGGAGGGATCTGGAGCTATTGAACTTTTCTACTCCTTCTTTCAGGAATTGTCTCTTCCAGTCTTCCGCCCCCAGGATAACTAACTCCTTCATCAGTCCCTCCCCCAGCCTCCATTTCATCTGCAATCTGGTCCTTAGCTGCTGTGGATTCTGATGGGCCAGGCAGCAGTTGTAGATTTAAAAAAAAAGAAAAGGAACCTTTTTACTATATTCTGAGTACTTCTGTATATCTTTTGTTCTTTAAATAAAAGTAATTTCTATCTTTTTTAAATCAGAAAAGACAAAGACAGAATTACTTTAGTTACATGAGTTAATACACTTACAGTGCTTCTAATAGTGCCTGGCATATAGTAGCTGCTTTAAAGTGCAAGTTATTATTATAATTACATTGGGATTTTATTTGGGTGGGAAAGGAATTAAAATGAAGAAAAGTAGTTTTGGACTCCAGCTCTGGTGGTGGAAGCCAGGAAGCTGTGTTGTCAGCTGATCAGTTGTCAGGTAGAAGGGAAGAATAGCATGCGTTCAGAGAATTGATTGTTGGGAAGTCTAAACAATGACACTGATATAAATATCAACAAATATTGGTTGCCTCTCAACTTCACACCAGTCTTTGGTAAAAGTCACAAATTTAACATAGAAATTTGTGAAATAGAAAGCTCTTAGAAGTAATATTTGAAAAGTAACAAAAGGATACATAGATATGTATTTTCCTTGTGTATAAACTTGGATGTTCCTTTGGGAAGGAGAATAAACATCTCAATGAATCATGTGGAAGAAAAAAGAACCTTATCACATGTTGTTTTATTTCACTTGTTTTTCTTTCACATTATTATATCGTCTGGGAAGCATGTTTATTTGAGCACTAGAAAATCTAATATATAATGGTTTGTGTCTGCTGGACAGAACACTAGTGTGAGAGGCAGGATCTGTTAGTTCGAGTGCCAGACTTAGAACTGACTGTTTGACCTGTACTGGCCTTACTCCTCCTGTACTGGCTTTACCTTTAAAACAGGGGAGCTCACGCAAACTCTGGCTTTAGAAAGGGCAAGATCTTAGAACTTTAGAAAGAAGCATGGGATTAGTTTTTTAAAAAAACTGAATGTATTGTCCCTAGGGAAGATTGAAGCATCTTAAGTGGCAGCTGCTTTTCTCCAGCTTGATGGAAAAGGTTCCAGAAATTCTTAGAATGTCCCAAAAAGGGAAAGAACAGTGCTTTGCTGACATTATCTCCTGCTAAACTTCTAAAAACCCTTCAAAGGAGATATTTTTATTTTCATTTTATTTTTCTGCAGAAGGAGTCTCTCTATGTTGCCCAGGTTGAAATCAAACTTGTGGCCTCAAGCAATTTTCATGCCTCAGCCTCCCAAAGCACTGGGATTTCAAGTGTGAGGCACTGTGTCCAGCCTTTTCCATTTTATAAATAAAGAAACTAAATGGAGAATTTAGTCTACATGCCCAAAGATATTAATTACTTAGACCTAAATTTTTCTGGAGGCCTCGCTTTTAAAGGTTTTAGCCTCTAACCCTCCTCTGGATACTCTCTTCTCCATGTAGAGAAGAGATGGTGGGGCAAGATGGGCTCAGTTGGAGTCTTCACTCCTCTCTTTCTAGACCGCACTCTAGATCCTTGAGATCTTAAAATATCTTGCCCAAAGGACCTAGAGCCTACACATGACTCTTCTGAAAGTCTGTCTTCCTAAGAGTGAGTCACATATCCTGTGGGTTCAGTCCTAAACCAAGAGCTAGGGATGGAATAGATGATATTGCTGGAAAGGCCATTTAGAAAAAAGCTAAAGGGAAGGGAGACTGTTGGGCCTTGACCTGGAGTCGAAGAGGATGGACAGGACCTAGATGGAGGAAGCAAAGAAGGGAGAATAGCAGTTTGATTGAACCCAGGTTCTGTGCCCTATTTGTTACCCTACCCTGTCTCATCCTTCCTTGCTGGATAGAAGTTTATTTGCTCCTCCTTAAGGGCACTTAAGTCTCTGACAGTGGTTATGGTCTGAAAGCAGGTTTAGTGTAAGCAAATTATGATATGCTCTGCACTACTCAAAGACTTTTCAATTTTTTCCAGGTCATGGAATCTGAATCGGTCTGTCTTTCTGGACAGTACTTAGGCAATTGCATTTAAAATATGCATCCCCTTTGAGCACATAAATACATTCCTCAGTATTCATCCTAGGAAAATATTTAATGGAGGGCACAATGACTTATCACAGCAAAGTTTGTAGACCTGAATTCCTAGCATCCTTTTGGATTGGACCTGAGTATACAATGAGAAGTCACAAGTGAAAAGCAGTAAGGAAAAGACAAAGAGAACTCTCCTAGGCTACAGTATACCTACACCCAAGCATGTATACATTCTCACAATAGGATTCTCTTGGATGCATTTGCTAGAGGATAAATGAGGCAAGCTTTATAACTGTGTTAAAACAATTCAAAGTGCACTGATGATATGTACCACTTAGAAATAGAAAATGACTATCAGGATATTCAACATAATTATTTATAATAAAAACAAGAAGCAAGTTAAATATCTTACAATAAGGAGCAAGTTAAATTATGTAACAACCATATAATAGAATTCTAAGAAAACATTAAAATAAAATTGTTTTAAAAATGCTCAGCATCACTAATTGTCAGGGAAATGCAAATCAAACTGTAATGAGATATCACCTTATGCCAGTCAGAATGGCCATCATGGAAAAAAAAAATAGATGGTGATGTGGATGTGGAGAAAAGGGAACACTTATACACTGTTGATGGGACTGTAAATTAGTACAACCTCTATGGAAAGTGGTATGAAGATTTCTCAAACAACTAAAAGTAGATCTACCATTTGATCCAACAATCCCACTACCCCAAAGAACACAGGTTATTATATGAAAAAGACACCTGCACTTGCACATTCACCGCAGCACAATTCGCAATTGCAAAGATGTGGATCAACTTAAATGCCCATCAACTGATCAGTGGATAATGAAAAGGTGATATATATGCACTATGGAATACTATTCAGCCATTAAAAAGACTGAACTAATGTATTTTGCAGCAGTTTGGGTGGAATTGGAGATAATTATCCTAAGTGAATTAATGCAGAAACAGAAAACCAATCACTTATAAGTGAGTGCTAAACCAAGGATCCACAAAGACATAGAGGATGGTATAATTGACACTGAAGACTAAGAAGGGGATGGAAAGAAGGGGTAAAGTCGGGAAATATTACCTATTGGGTACAACATGCACAGATTGGGGTGGACGGTACATGTAAAGCCTAGAACAAAAACCATTCGTACTCCCTAAAGCTATTGAATTTTTTTAAATTGAGTACCTAAAATAAATATATAAAATGAGATTGTTATATATCAAATATTTGTGTCTTCACAAAATTTATATGTTGAAAATTAATTTCCAAGTGATGGTATTAAAAATGAAACTTTTGGGAGGTAATTATGTCATAAGGGCAGAGCCCTAAAGAATAGGATTAGTGCCCTTTTCAAAAGAGACCCAAGAAAGTTTGCTTCCTCACTCTCTTCTCTCTGCCCTGTGATGATATAAAGAAAAGATGGCCATCTGCAAACCAGGAAGCACGCTCTCACCAGACATCTTGATCTTGAACTTGCTAACCTCCAGAATTGTGAGAAACAAATGTTTGTGCCACCAGTCTATAGTAATTTGTTATACCAGACCAAATTGACTAAGACAGCGATCTCCTGAGAATAGAAATGAAAATTAGTTTTCAGTGAGCAAAAGACATGAACAGACACTTCTCAAAAGAAGATATACAGACAGCCAACAGACACATGAAAAAGTGCTCAACTTCACTCACCATCAGAGAAATGCAAATCAAAACCACACTGAGGTACCACCTAACCCCAGTAAGAATGGCCATCATTAATAAAGCAAACAACAATAGATACCAGCAAGGATGCAGAGAAAAAGGGACGTTTCTACACTGCAGGTGGGAATGCAAACTAGTGCAACCTCTTTGGAAGATGGTGTGGCGATTTCTGAAAGAACTAGAAATTGACCTTCCATATGACCCAGCAATTCCCCTATTGGGAATATACCCGGAGGAACTCAAATCAGTCTACAAAAATGATACCTGCACACGTATGTTTGTTGCAGCTCTATTTACAATAGTAAAACATGGAACCAACCAAGCTGGCCATCGAAGCTGAACTGGATTAAAAAATAATGTGATACGTATACACAATGGAATATTGTGCAGCCATAAAGAAGGACAAACATGAATTTCACAGCAACTTGAATGGATTTAGAGTCTATCATACTCAGTGACCTATCACAGAAACAAAGAACAGAGTACCCTATGTTCTCACTCATCAGCGGACCTTGAACAATTATCATAATACTATATATAAGAAAGGGATTGGCGCCGGGCTCGGTGGCTCAGCCTGTAATCCCGCGCCTTTGGGAGGCTGAGGTGAGGGGATTGCCTGAGCCCGCGGGTTCGAGACCCGCCTGGGCAGCGAGACCTCATCTCTACAATAAATCAAAAAATCAGCTGGGCATGGTAGCGCGCGCCTGTAATTCCGGCTACTCGGAAGGCTGAGGCGGAAGGATAGCCTGAGCCCAGCAGGCGAGGCTGCGGTGGCCCGGAGCGGCCACTGCACTCCAGTCTGGGCGACAGAGTGAGACTCCAACTCAAAAAAAAAAAAAAAAAAGAAAGGGATTGGCAGTAATGGGAAACTGCCAGAGGAGCGGGGGTAGGATTGGCAGTTGAGGGAAACTGCTATAGGAGGGAGGATCACACCTCATCAACAAGGGTA